TTTTATACAGTTTGTATACATGACTGGGGGTAAAAAATAATATATCCATCTTCTACACAAACAATACGGTACGCCTATCAAAAGATGAAAAAATGATCGTCAAATGTGAGTTGAAGAAACCTTAAAAAGTACATGGAATGAAAAGATAATGAGAAGCCTTGGTGGCGTAATGGGTTACACATTGAGCTGTCAATAACCACTAACTGCTTTTCAGGAGAGAAATGTAGCTTTCCACTCCCATAAAGATTTAAGTCTCCGAAATCCACAGGACAGTTCTACCCTATCCTGTAGGGATCACTATGAGTCTGAATTACCTTAATGGCAGTAATTTTTTTTTTTAAGATAATGAAATTGACTCTCACTCTCTCTCGCTCACTCACTCTCACTCTCTCACTCACTGACACTCACTCTCACTCACAATCACTCACTCGCTCACTGACTCACTCTCTCACTCACTCACTCACAAAGAAAAAAAAAAGATAATGAAATTATCCCAGAGTTTAAAGTACCCCCGTTTACACAAAAACCATAAAAGGTGATGAAGTAAGGAAAGGTACTACTTAAGAATATAAATATAGTGCCTACAGACTATTCCTCTTGCAATGAAGACATCTGGACCAACGCATATAGGTAAGAGGTTAAAAATGTTTTCTGTTTACATTTTATAAAACATATCCCACATACACTTTCTCATTAAATCTGTACAAAATATTCTGTGAACACAGAAATACTTTATATCCGTTTAAAAGAAAGACCCACCTGCAGTACAACTGTCTTAGAATCTGGATTGAGATTTAGGTTTTGTTTTCTTTCTACTATACCTAAAGAAATCGACTATGAGTGTCAGATAATTCATTAACGTTTATTTACATTTTCTTATTCTTCATAACTATCTTCATAAAACCTGAGGTATTATTTTTCGCAAATGAAGTTACTACAGCAGATTAGTTAACTTAAAGGCACACAATTTAAAGGTGGTACAGTATAGACTTCACAGACTATATAAGATTATCAGTTGACTCTTAATATCCCTTTTCTACTTCTTCCTTAGTACTTAAGAAATTTGATACTTAGCAAATATCATGCCATATTTAAAGCTGTATTCTCCAGACTTTGTTGAAGATAAATGTGGGCTACTTTACTACATTGTGTTCAGAGAGCTGTACTCTTCTTTGGCAATTCCCTCTCACCTGTTACTTGGAATGTGGATGTTATTATGACTATAGCTCTAGCAATTATCTAGATGAGGGAGGGCAGGGGTCAACTCTAAGTAAACAATGTCTATCTACTGTAAAGAATGTAACTCCTGATAACTACAATCATGGCCTGGGCTGCCTACAATCTCTATTATGTGGATAAGAAGTGTCTAATCTTTTTTTTAAATCATTTATTGGGGGCTCATACAACTCTTATCACAATCCATACATAAAGTGTCTAATCTTAAGTTAATATTTTATAATTCTATTATACAAGGAATCTTCCAAAAGTTCATGAAAAATGTGTATAAGCTCACACTGTTTGAGTCTAAATTTTTTTTCCCCCTGCACCATGGTAAAGTTGTCCTAACTTGTTGTGTCTAAATAGGACCTCTAGCTTGAGACAAGATATCAGTTGTGAGTGTTGGGGGGTGGTGGTGGTGAGGGAGAAAAGGCCACTACCAGAGCAATATGACTTTAGCTATAACTGAAGCAAGACAAACATCAAAGTTACGGTGAAGCTCAAGTGAAAGAAAAGTGAAATCACAAATGCATTACAAATCTTATGGGGAACAATGCCCAAAAGAAATTAGCTAGTTTACATATAGGTAACTCATTTTAAGAACAAGACAATGTTGAAGATAAAGCCCACCAGCTGCAGACTATCCACATCAATTTGCAAGGAGAAAAAAAATTGATGTTATTGATGTCTTAAGTAAAGACTAATGATTAATAGCAGAAACTATAGCCAACAACCACAGACATTGCAATTGATTCAGCTTACACAATTATGACTGAAAAATTAGAGAAAACTTTCCTGAGTACTAAAACTTTTATGCCCAGATCTAGCATAACTGTTGACAAATGCGTAACTTTGGGTGGAAATTTTAAAACAGGAATCAAGATCCTGAAACATTGTTTTGAAGAACTGTTAACAGGAAATGAAATATGGCTTTAACTAGTAGAATCCTAAACACAAAACAAAATCAAAGCAATGACTACCAAGAAGTATTAGTGGCCCAGCCAAAGAAAAAGCAGACTAATCAAAACGAAAGGTCAAGGAAAAAGTTTTTTGGGACACTCCAGGTATTTTGCCTGTTAAGTTTCTGGAGGGCGAAAACATGGTAACATCTGCTTATTATGAGGCTTTTGAGAAAGTTAACCCAGCTTTAGCAGAAAAATGCCCAGGAAAGCTTCACCAGAGTCCTTCTCCATCATGACAATAGTACTGCTCATGCCTCTCATCAAGCAAAAGCAATTTTGTGAGTGGTTTGATGTAAAATCAGTGGGTATACACATCATAGTCTTGCTTTGGCTCCTTACGGCTTCTTTTTGTTTCCTGAAAAATCTTTAAGAGGCACCTATTTTTCTGCAGTTAACAGTGTAAAAGAGATGGCCCTGTCATGGTTAAAATCCCAAGACTCAATTCTTTAGGGATGGACTAAATGACTGGTACAAAAGTGCGTTAACATCAATGAAACTAATGTTGAAAAATGAAATGTAAAGATATTAGAAAATTTCCACAAACTTAAAAAAAAAAATTTATTGGCACGTCTTACTCATTCCAATATATCCCTTCCCATACAGTTCAGTTGTTCAATTCAATCAGGTGCGCCTATAAAATCATCAATACTATCAACTCCCCTCCCCCCTTCCACAAACTGGAAGACTCCTAGTACTTTTAATTTTTATCTTTTAAGTCCATTTTTCCAAGAATTTTATGAAGTCCCCTCATATGCCACTGAACATCATCTTAGCAAATATACTACCCAACATATCTTGCTCAAAAGTTGTAAGGTACTAAATTTATATTTGAATACCTACTCCGTATCTAAAGGTTCTGCAGTAAACAAAACATAGCCAGCCCCCATGAGGGTAAAGTATCTGATATTAAAGTATCATAATTCTGTTTATTTTACATATTTCTAAAGGACCAAGGGCAATAAAACAAAATTTTAAAGTGTTATCTTAGAAACTTGTTGTTAGTTCAATTCATAAGAACCCTAGGTACAACAGAATGAAAACACTGCCCAATCTTGAGCCATCCTCACAATTGTTCTCATGTTTGAGCCCACTGTTGCAGCCTAGATGCTTATGTACTAAAATTTCCAAAATCGACTGTTACAGATGACCTATTAAACTTTTTTTAAGCGGAATATATTATTCCTAATAATTTCACTTAACAGAAGAAATTTACATCAAAGTATCACAGAAACAGCACAAAATGAGGGGGGGGGGGAGTTCTTGAGATACAATGCTCAAAGGTCATCACAATGTTTATCACGAGGAATGTATCTTCCCTCCCAAATTTTCTATGAAGTAACCTGCTAGAAAGCTATTAATTTATTCATGCCCAAAACTTTATAGATATGGCTAACCAAATTACATATCAAAGGAGTAAACTAACAACTGAGAATTCCAAACCTATTTGTGCAAACCTGAATGAACTTTCAAGATGTAGGTTTCTGATAAAACATCAAAGTCTGAAATGCTGCCAAGATGGAACAGCAGAGCAATAAAACAAGTGGTTTGATCACATACAGCAACCCCATGTTCTTTTCTGGAGCCCTATTTCTAAACAGGAAGGGGAGGGAGACCCCATGACAAGTGACAAAGCATGTAAGGAGCTATACAAAGTAAGAAATGTAAAGTTGGTAGAATAGCCTGGCCTACTCGTTATAACACAATTTGGTGATGTCATCACTTTTGAAAGAATAAAATGCAATAGACATCAATGCTTAAATAGATTTTTGATTTGCCAATTCATCAATTCACAAACTGGTTCATATTTCATCAACATCTAGTAGATAGACTTCTTCAGACAATGCTGGGAGAACTGATTGACCGATGAAAAGTACAAAGGTCAATGAAGTTAGTCCCATTATAAACTCCATGAAGACAGAAACCATCTTTTATTACCTGTTATTATTTCTAGTGGCCAACAAACTAATACAGTGAAGAAATAGAAGTTATTTTTCTAAGTTTATTGTACTGAATCAAATAACCAGTTATTTTTAATATTAAATATCCAGGCAGAAGTATATGTAGCAATCAATGAGGCTATAGTGTAGTCATCAAAAACCTTCTACTTCCTTCAGTCTCTCTTTAAAAAAATAAAATCAAGCTCAATGATATTTCTCATCATCATCACACAAATGACCCTGACATAGCTTTAGTACTGATTGAAGTTAAAACATACGCGCGCACAGTCAGTTCAATACAGACCAGCTCTAAGAGAGTACAGCTGGCTAGTTCTTTGTCTTTTGTCCTCCAGGCCAATTTTGACAGGATAAAAAAAAAACATGGGAAAGGAAAACATGAAAAATACCATGGCATTAATTACCATGAAGTCAGAAAATTAGTCCCTCTTTTCTTCAAACCCAGCAAATACACAGATATATGTGGCATATGAATCCAAAATATTCTGTTCAGGTATTTTGAGAAGTACTATATTATTTAGCAACCCTTTAAACACGAGAAGCAGGAAAAATTCCAAATAACAAAATACAATTTCCCTAAATCTATACCTAGCCTTCCTGCTCCACCTCTGTTAAAGTAACTGCACATGCCAGTACAGCTAACATTTGGGGGGAAATTTTTTTCACTGTTCCATCACAATCTCCTTGCTCCCTAAGATTTTAAAACAGCTATGACAATTTCAAAACTCTCTTTTCTCACGTGTTTTTGTCTTAATCCCTCTTACTCTTTATAAACTAACCTGCCAAAAAATCGAGTCTCTACAAATCCACATCACTTAAGTGCCCCCAAAACAGTTGTCAGCAAGCAACGTATAATATAACTCACCCTCCTTACTTTATGTTTGGTTTTCTCTCACTCTTCACATGTTGTTCGTGGGCATAGAAGTTCTTCCTCCACCCATTTTCAATCAGTTTAGGTCTCTATGCCTGCTCCCCAGAGGAAGATGACAAAAGCTATTCCTGCTTCCCAAAGTGTGGAATAACTCGATCTGCTCTGTCCTCTTCCCCCGGCCCTTTCCTGTGTTCATGTTGGCTCATAGGGAGGGGACTTTTACAAAATCCATCTAGTGACTTACCCCAGCAGCAAATCCCAGGTGGATGCAAATTGGGAAACAGGGATATTTGGAAGAGTTTCTCCTTGTGGCCCAGCAAATGCCTGAGGCTTGGTTGGTATGTATTAGTCATAAGAAATAACAATGTCCACTTAGTGTGTTTCTCATCAATGCGGCTAATAAGCGGTAAATTTTACTCGTGATTTCCCTCAGGAGAGGAAAAGCAACTGAATGAGCAGGGAAAATAGGGGGAAAAGGATAATTTCTTGTTGTCACCCTCTCCACACCCGTTGATGCTACTATTGAAGCAAGTATATGTGATAAGGATTCTGAGTAAACATGAGGAAAATAAAGAAGCTATCCACTAAAAACTAAGATAGGTGTTTTGGCTGGTAGTCAACTGCCTAAGACTAAAAGTTAGATACTGGGG